TTGTGGATAGGAGCGGGCAGGAGAGAGGGAAATTTTTCCCCTCCAGCTGCAGAGCTGTTTGCCTGCTCCACTCTAGAAGGTGTGCAACAATAGCAGGTGTCCCTCAGATGAGATCTTTACCTTTAGGTAAGGAGTATGAGAGTACTGGCAGTTCGGTATTTTTGTGATTCTGGATGCAAAATTCTGTTATTTCTGACCATGATAAAACCTTGTGACACCAACTCTTCATTGGCATGCAAGTTTTACTATTAAAATGTTTTCGTTTGGTAATCTAGGCACTAAGGATTTATGCTTTTTTTCCAAATTTAACATTTGTGTTCTTAAAAATATTACTTCTACCTACAAAGTCGGTTCTTAGAGCTTCAGCAAAATATCTTCCCATTTGGAGTAAAAAGCAGAAGATGGAGAAAAAAGGATATGTTTAGGGTTAAGGTCCCACATTGTCATTCAGAGCTAGCATGAACGCGTCCTGTCTCAGATATTTTCTGAGTTGCTTAATCTTTATGCCTTCTTATCTCATCTATATAGGAAGGATAATAACTCTGCCTTGTTTGGAGGCAGAGTTCATTTTGTACTATGGCATCTAGTCCAGTGGGAAGCTGATTTAGTCCCAGCTTGAGCCAATATTATTTGCGGAAGCTATGCAATGCAGAGATGGTTTCTCAGTGACCTGGAAAAGTGCACTGAAGATGCAGGTATATGCGCTGTGTTAAGACAAAATAATAAGAAATCAGAATAAAAGGCTTTCTCTCCATCTGCAGTAACTACAAGCTTACCCATGCAGGGATATGAATCAAGGCATTGTCCAGCACTTGTTCAAACTCAGCAGGCCAGAAAGTCAAATCACTTTTCAAAGGCATGTCACACAGTTAAAGGACAAAGGTTCCTGTGTACTTGAAGTACAGGGCAAGCAGTGATCCGTGGGTCTTTGTAGAAACAATGACCGCAACAGAAACCGTTGAGGTTAGCAAACACAGATAAGTAGTAATGACAGCAGCTTTGATTAAGACATCATCATGTATTGCTGTTCAGAGAAAATACAGAACACTGGATGTGCACATTACGTGACCCACGTGTGAAGGAACATGCAAAGGTGAAAATCTGTTATCAACTTAAAAATCAGTCTGTTTCATTTTGAAAGAAAAAAAAATGCAGATCTATGTGTCATTACAAACAATACCCACTGTTTAAACATCAAGATCCCATTTCCCAGCATTATAAGAATGTTCAAAACAGTCCTAAACTAAATAAATCCTTGTGATTGTTGTATCTTACTTCTACTGCAGCTCTCAGCTCCTGTTTTCTAACATTCTTCAGAATATCCCTTCAAACTGAGACTCCTGTGTAACCCCCCAAATCGAGAAGCTAGAACATAAAAAAGAGCACACAAACCGCTATTAAGAACTGCCACAGACAGCAATATGATATTCTTATAATATTAACCGGAATAACAAGATGGCACAGGCCAAATGTATGATAATCTCAAATCTTCCAAAGCCCAGAATAACAGGGAGAAGCACAGTCACTGCAAGACGAACCAGAAACTTTATCAACTTATTCAAACAGGGAGATTTTCCATTTTCAATGTCATAAGAAATAAAGCAGAAAGTAAAATTGTAATGGCCACATAAGGAAGTCACTTAAAACTTCAGCCGATCTGTATGCTGAGTTATTTGTAATTGAAAAGCCAGCTAGCTCACAGGTAATCACTGAGGCATGAAATTTACAGAAAGCTATAAAACATGAACGTTAGCAGCAGAAAGCTTTCGAAGATAGCTTAACTCTCAGAAGCAAGGACATCCTCGATCTGAAAGGCAGCGCCTGTGGTTTTTGCCATCACAAGTTAGATTATTCAGGCTCTAAGACAGCAATTTATTTGGATGTTATACATTTAAATGAATACCATTTGACATTCATTCTGTCCCCAAAGTGTTCCAAAGAGCTAACTGCACTGATTTTTAAGGGATTACAAAGTGATGAAGTTTTCTTGGATGAAATTTTAATTTGAGCAGAGCCTTTAAAGAGTACAATAAAATACTGGGTTATTTATTTATTTATTTATTACTGACATAGGCACAAAGTCTCCTGACATTAAATTTTTAAAAGTATGCACCAGTCAGGAAAAAAAAGCTATTTACTGGGGCTTTTCATCTGCTCTCAAAGATGATTCAGGTAAAAGAAAGTGAGAGTTAAGTGTATATCGGGATGAAAAAAGGAATGTATCCTCACTGTGAGTGATAAATCCACCGAAGCTCCTGCAAAGAAAAATACAGCGTATTATATGCTGTGCTCAGCACAAAGCAGATTTCTCAAACACAGGTTAGTGGACTTAATCTAAAGTCAACAGAGGAAATTTTATGGTTTATGACATGCGGGAGATGAGATCATGTGATCCAAATGCCCAAATTCTACATCAGTGAAGGTTTAAAGGAACATACAATACACAAGTAAAATACAAGACAATAAACTGATCCTGTCTAGCATTTCAGGAAAAAAGAATTGTAAATGTAATTTTCCATTAAAGTCAAAGAATACGGGAAGAATGTGCAACTATATCTGCAGGAGTATGGCAGGTATTAGCTGTACCAAAGTCACCCAGAGACATGACAAATGCTGTTATCACCATGTCTGCCAAGACCAAGCATAGCTGAAGCCAGAATGCAGTTAGGAGAAACACTAATGATCATCCCCTGAGAAAGGCTGCCAGATCCTGTTAAAAGAACTGGAAGAAATATAATGCATTAATAATAGCTACGTGGTTTCACAAAGCGTTAAAAAATCCATGGCTCATGTCAGATGGTGATCTTTGTGCAGTTCTAGGGCAACAACAGATCTAAACCTAGGGAATGCATTTCACCAAAAAGCATGCGCCTATTTAACTTCTTAGTGCACTAACTAGCTCCAAGAGGCTGACCACACTCCAATGCAGGAGTCTGTGACTGCACTTGAAGAAAATATCTTGCCTTCCCTCTTCAGCAAAATGACCCCATGCGCTCGTTAAATTTTATCCTGCAGGTAATTGCAGGCTAAAATCATAGCAGATTTGCACTCAGCCTTGCTGGTCAAAGGAGGTGTTGCTTGTATTAAAGTTTTTTGCTACTGAAGATATTTAATAAGAAGGGGCTCAGATTTTCTCAGAGACCTACATAATTGACAGCGTTATTAATTGGTACAACAGAAATAGAAATACAATACTGTTTGCAGATGCTTACTTTTGAGATAGAAAAGGGCATATGTTTTCCAACAATGAGACAATAAATCAGTGCAGCTTGTAACGCATTAATTTGTTAAATCGAAACATGTTTAGCAGTGTAGGCAATTATGTTTTTGCATTAGGAGGCCTCATAAGACATTTATAAGGTTACACTGCTTTGACACTAAACAGATGTGATGATGTATCAGGTGAGCCTGATAAAGTTAATTGATGTAAATGTCATGTTTAACTAGTAGAAAAAGCTATACTGGGTGATATATGTCTATGAACAGCTTACAAAGAACCTGTAATTCTATTTCAGAGGCTAAAGGAGAATGTTTGACAGATAAGGTATAATTGGAAATGCTTTCCCCACAGTCATATCACTGGCAGCTATCCTTTATCTGAACAAAATATATGCTGAACTATGTTCAAGTAAGGACAAATATGTCAGAGGCTAGAATGCTCACTTTTATTTCAGCAATAGGCTATTAAATCACTTCTTGTTCAGTTTCTGCTTTTCAAAAACACAGTATCATCCTCGCAAATATGCCCACTTACATGACTGCAGGGACAAACCCAGCACAGAACAAGGAGCTGAGCAGCCTCAGTCTTTGCTAGCTTAGTAGAAGACAAGAAAATGGAGAAATATTCATAGAATCATAGAATGGCCTGGGTTGAAAAGGACCACAATGATCATCCAGTTTTAACCCCCCTGCTATGTGCAGTGCCATCGACCACTATAGCAGGCTGCCCAGAGCCACACACCCAGCCACTGCCCACCCAAATTATTCCAAAAAAGTGGTTTGGATTTCTTTAAGAGGAAGATCACAAGTGAGAAGTGACACGCTGAACAGGAAGTAAACAGTTAATATTTCCCAAGAATAAGCACCAAGACAGTCTTGTCCAGAAAGATGCATTTGCACGATCAGAATGACAAATATTGACACAGGATGCCAGGAACCATCCAACAAGACTCCAAAGAGAACTAAGAATAAGAAGATTGGCTCTGAGGTGACATCTGCAGGGGCTGGAGAACAACCTGCAGAGAATGGATGCCTGTTAATGAACCACAGATTAACTGCTATCAGCCACTACTAGAGATCATTGCCATGCGAAACAACGAGCGCTGCTTGTACTGCTCTCTCCCCACGGGACTCCATCTGAGGGAGAATATAACCTCTCTCCTTCTCCTCCAGCACCAGCTTGTCACTGCCAGCGTTGGCTATAATTGAATAAGCTTTATTCAGATGATAGCTAAATTTAGCAGACATTAGCAGCAAGTCTCTGGAGAGGCAAAAACGGGGGAGGAAAGCTTTAAATAAATATGCTAAAGTAATACTGAATAATAGATGCAATTAATGGTGGAGCAAAACTCCGTGCCTCAGGAGCCAGGCACAGCATTAAACCCATTTTGTGGGGCCTTGCAGAGACAAAATGTGACAGTGCTGCTGGATGCTCCCCTTCCTCTTAGCCTGTAATTATTGCCTCCCCTGTGATCACCACCACAGCAGGGCCTCAAAAAGCCTGTTCCCAATGCAGAAGCTCAGTAAGGGTGCACCACAGAGGGCCTGCAGACCAGCTGCTGCACAGGCAGGAGAGAGGAAAGAGGCAGCAGCGTTGCACCTGTACGCAAAGCCAGTTCAGGGCTGGCCTGAGGCAGCCTCCACAAAGCACGGAGCCTCAATACAGCTCCGCATTCCTTCCTTCCCGCCTAAACCCTCCCCCAGCTCCCCTCGAGCATGCGCGCCCAGCGGGAGGAAAGACGGAAGTATGGCTGTTCAAAGGGCGGAAGTGGTCTCAGGAGAGGGCGGAAGTGCATTTGAGAACCGGAAGTAGGTGAAAGGCGGGCGTGCGTGGCCATGTCTGCGTCGTTGCTACGGCGGGGCCTGGAGCTACTGGAGGCACCGGGTGGGCCCGAGGGGCCAGAGGCAGGGGAGGAGGGGATTATTGCAGCGTGTGGCCCTGTAACCTCCCTCATCTCATCTTTCAGGCCGGGGGAAGGCCACGCCGGGACTCCAGCAGGGGCGTGATGGCAGCAGGCCGGCAGGAGCTGCCCGGCGGAGGAAGGTAATGGTGGGGCCTGGGAAGAGCAAGGCCACGATCAAGGGCAGAGTGGTGAAGTCGGCGATAGGTGAGTCCTGGCTTAGCTCTGGCAGACTGCAGCCCATGTCACAATCACCTGTGGCTATCTCTCCCCATCCTCCTTTGTAACAGCAGGTGATGTGTTTTGTCTCACTGTGCTCTGACCTAGAGGAGTATCGCAAGAAGAAAGCTGTAAATCACCTCAAAGCAAATTTGCAGTACATGACAAGCGGACGATGCGTTGCTGACAAAGCTGTCACCCAACAAGTAAGGATGACACTTCTTTCTTCCTCTGAGGAGCATAGATGAATGGGAATTACCTTCAGATCTTCCAGCTTAGTCCTCGTGCAAAAGAGTTAAGTTTCTGCCTGGCAGTGGCCTTGAAGTGTTTCTTTGTGCTCAAGCAAAATATCTTACTAAGCTTTAAATTTTTGTTGATAGCTTATTTCTTACAGTATTCTCAGCTACTCATTCAAATCTGGTAACTGTTGACTTCTCTTGGTTACCAAAGGTATTTCACAGCAAAGAAGCCCTGGTTCAGACTTCCCTTCTGTTCTTTGAACTCTCCTCTTCTGTAGCTAGAGGCTGTTTTAGGGAACCAGACATGCTGCTGGCTCACGTTAGGAATTTCATAGCATCTTAAATTATGTTTCTCATAACCTGAAAATTGAACCAATGATCTTTCCCAAGTAATAGTTCTAAGCCAGAATTTGACAGTAGCTAACACCACTAGATTCATAAGCTGTTTTTATGACAACACTTTTAACTTAAAGAAACTAAGTGATTGAGGCCAGTGTTTTTCAGGTTTGAGGTTGTAAATGGCAAGGATGACATATTAAAAAATGCCAGGGGAATTCTACCAATTTCTTGGTTTTCTAGTTGTCTCATGGAGACACGGGACAAAAGAAGACTACAGTTTCAGAAAAAAAATGAGTTAAAATCAATATTGCAGTCTCAATAAGAGTTATCAGAAAGTAACTTTCTTTTTTGGCTCTGAATACTACCTGGGTGCTTGCTGCTGTCCCAGTGACCTGCTTTGGGTCAGATAATGTTTGCCTCTCACACTTCTCTGGGGCATTCCAGAATGTAGCAGGGTACTAGCAAATAAAAAGGATGTGGCAGGTGAGCTCAAAAACTGTTTTGTGATTTTGGTCTAGACGACAGTGAATGTTATTTTTCTTTTTGTTTTTCCCAAAGGTTCTTACACAGAACAGAGGCAGAAAGTCAAAAGATCGGCCTGCAGAGAAGAAGGAAAAGAAGAAGCCTGAGGGCACTGTCTTTACTGAGGAAGACTTCCGTAAATTTGAGAGAGAATATTTTGGAATCCCATAAACAGCATGTAAGGAACTCTTGCAGCTCAAGTCCATCTGCAGCTGAGTGCTCAGAACGCAACAGTGGCTACTTCCTCAGCATGTTTGAGAATGGATGTAGATCTGTCACTTTGTCAACAAATAAACTAGCATCAGGCTTGCAGAGTAACTGCACCTGTCCAGAACTCACTGCTGGAGCCATGGAAGTTCTCTTTGGTCTTTGCAATACATTGTCCTTACAATTACTTCCCTCCAGCCAGCAAGTCTTGCATTCTTGACATAGAAAGGTGAACTAATAAAAAAAAAAATCATGTTCTTCAGTAAGTAAGGCATCTGCTGCTGGTCTCCAAATCAATGGAGATACGTTTTGGACAGCAGAAGTAAATCATTAAGAGGGAAGGATGCTTCAAAAGACTGAAATCCAAGTACTCCTGCAGTTTCTGTCATTATTACAACACCTGTCAGGTTTTTCTGGCATTGTAAAAAATTTTGTATGCGTTGTACGACTAAACAGTTGTTGTTACAGGTGCTGCCTGTCTTTGCCTTTGTGATAGCGATTGTTATGAGTGGCTATGATTGAAGAAGACAGACCAGATCATTGTTCTGATCCAAGCATTCCTGTCACTAGGATGACTCAGTTGTATGAATGTCCCGTCTCTGATTCCTCTTGACATGTGTATTAATCTTCTCTCCTACATGCTCAGGCTTTCAGAGTGCAGGTTGGAACTGAGGTGACTCCTGTTCTGCCTGCTCAGTCACCCCTCTCCAAGAAAGATGTCTTAAATGGAGAAAGCTGTTTCTCATGCTTCAACCCAAGCTTTTCTTCTGAGGTTACAGCTGTCCTAGGAGGGCATTGCTGCTGGATGCTGCCAGCTCCTGTAGGCAGGAATGCTTGTGACCCAGAAGTCAAGTCTCAGCACGAGGATTTAGTCATCTGAACCAGAGGCTGTGGTGCTGGACTGAAGGGATGGGGTTTTTGTGTGGTTTGCTTTTTTTTTTCCCATACTGCTAAATTCCCTACTGCAGTAAGTAAATGGCCCAGCAGGTGGGAGTGTTGTTCCAGATTATCTTCTTTGGTAAACTACTGTAAATGTGCTTTTTGGAGCTCTTGTCACTGCCCTTTCCCACCCCTTCCTTAAGAAAATGGGAAGCGTTCTCCCTTTGGACAAAAAAAGAGGCAGTTACTAATAATGCCAACCCTTGGTTAGAACTAACTCCTGAGTCTGAGTAGCTTGGTTCAGATGTTAGCAGTGGAAGGAATTTGGTATCCTCCTGGTGCATCATTAAGTCTGTACCACCTGTGTTCTGTTCTTTCCATTGTGTCTGCATGGAAGGGAAGGTCACACAGATGTACTTTGTCCAAACAGGGAAAATAGTGAACATACTAAAGTATGTGTTCTGGAAACTGTGTTAAGAGCATGTGGGATGGGATTTCTCATAATAAAATCAGTTCAACTGTTTGCAGCCAAAAGTGGTAAATAAAACAGTTCAAGAGCCGGTTTCCCTTTTTTTCAGTTTGTCTCTACTCCTAAAATGGAGAGATGTGTAGGAGGGGAGAGAATGACTGTATGAAGAAATAGTTGAAAATAACGTGTATGCAGCATACATCTTTGTAAAACCAATGCACTCCATGCTGGCTGCTGAGCGTGTTAGCTGCTCTAATACATGTAGTTCTGTGTGGAGCTGTTGTAGAGACTATTAAAAGTGTAGAAAAGCCTGTTCTGCTATGGCATGACTTCAAGGGGCAAATCTTGGGGGTGCTACTTTGTGTCCTACCCTCACCTTCAGCACTCAGCAGTTCCTTTGACCTTCAAGAAGCTCTTCTCAGCCCCTGTACCTCCTCTCCCAGCCCCTCCTATGTACTCCTGTTCCTGTGGTCGTTCAGCTGCTGGGCCAACTTTCTACACCTTAAAGAAAGCAGAAACATTTTTTGTTGCTTCAGAAAGGAACAGTAGGGAAGCGTGGTTCATTCTGTTTGCACAAAACCCAGCTTGTTTGTTTGCAAACATAAGTAAATAGGGAAGTTGCTCTTTCAAAGTCAATAAGGAACTTTAAAGTGAACTCCAAAGTAGTCTTCCCCAAGGATAACAACACCCAGATACCTGGAATTTTAAAGTTGGATGGGAGCTCTAATTACTAGCAGCGAAGACTATTAGGGCCAACACAAGTAATCCTTGTAGCTATATGACAAGAGGCATAGTACTTGCTTCAGAAGGTAAAGCCAACTGTCAGCCCCAGAAAAACCCAGACTGTGGGTTTTGCCAGCTGAAATCAAAGTTGCTTTTACAGCCAACAGTATCCCCAACTAAATTAAATTTTACCTTGCAGGAAGGAGAAAAAGCAAGCAGAAGAAAAGTGTGGTTCTAGATAAACCATCCTTGGAAATAGCAAAGATCTGGCATGTCCTAGCCTTGATTTTTTCACCTTTCTCACAGAGCTGGAGCTCCAGGAAGGAATGGCACGCTTCCTGCTTGTCATGTAATAACATGAGCTGGCCTTTGAGAAGAATGTCTTCACTGCCTGGTTGTAAGATAAAACTGTGTTCTCACACTCCCAACCATCTATATATTACAGACTAGTCATGCTTAGAGCATGCCAGCTGAGACCCCAGGCAGTGGCTATTGAACTTCATGTGCCACCTCTCTGTTGCTTGCTCACAGCCAGGCTTTGCTGCCTCAGAAAAGAGAGAAGAGGGGTTAAGGAGGGAACAGCTCCCATAGTTTCTTTTCCTACCGAGCCTCCGACCTGGCTGGTTCCCACACTGGGAGCAAAGATGCTGCATCCCACAGCCCTCAGACCTGCTGGACAGCATTTCTCTCCCGTGCAGCTGCAATCCAGGGCAGCTGAGCTCATCGTGCTGCTGGCTCTCTTCCCAGCTCTGCGACATCAGCCAAGCATCCCACAGCAGAAAAATAGAAGTGGTCGAGCTGAGAAAGAGAGGGGTGCCATCTTCCAGAACATCTACACCCACAAGCAGCAGGGAATCAAGATGGGAAGGAGCAGCTTTAATATACATGCAAATATAAGCTCTGGAGCATTAATAATGTGGTCAAACCTTTCCAGGGAAGTGGTTTAAAGGAGGAAGAATAGTTCCCAGATGCTCAGTGCTGGGCTGGCTTCCTGTGAGTAAGATTCACAAAGTCATTTAATGGCCTTCCTCTGTTTTGTGAATGGAAAGCAAACAGGAAAACTTGTTTGAGCAGGTATGAGTGGCTCAAAGCTTCTGCTGTATCAGCAAATGTGTTCTTCCTCAGCATGGAAAGCAGTGACAGCCAATATCAGCATAGAGGTGTATCAGGAAGGCTGCAAGTATTAACTAATAAAACATGATTGCCCAGGACACTCAATGATTTCTTCCCTCTGAAATAACAGAGCGAATCAAGCCCAGCTGCAAATGAACCAAAGTAGCTTGGCATACAAGATTTAAAATGCTGAAATGACCACAGTAGGGAGAGGGGAAAACCATGGTTGGGAGGGGTCCTAGAAACCTTTTGGAATCTCAGTCCTTGACTAGTTTTTCAGGACCAACTTCCCTTTCAATCTTGCTGATGATCCACGCAGTATTGGATCCATGCCTACAAAGCTGATGGGCTCTGAACACCTTGGGTAAGGGGCTGGTCACTGCAGAAAGGGGAACACAGCAGCAGTACCCTAAATAGCTCACAGATGTAATGGTGAAGCACGTGGAAGTTTCTCACTTCGAAACAAGAAGAGCAATCAAACAAGGAATGTAAAAGAAGGCAAGCCACCTAATGCTTGCTTACAGCTCAAAACCTGGAACTCCAGCCAAAACAAGCTGAACGGTTAGTAGGTTTGAGACGGATTAAAGGTTTGCATGACTATCCATAGTTACATTAAAGAGGATTAACAGCGCCAGCCACTAAGTGATGGGGGCAGGGGAAATGGAAATCATGAAGGTTGCTCTGCCCGCAGGGTTACATACACCTTGTTCTGAAGGAATTAGCTGTTGGCAGGGCTGAGCAGCAGCAATCTAGCCAAGTTGAGCTATTTGTATGCAAGAAAGCTCATTTATCTCCTCCACTAACTTGTCATTAATGGAAGGGAAAGAATAGATGTCCTTCTCTGGTTCTCCATGCGCTGCAGTGGTGATGCAGAGGAGTCAGACTCACAGCAGGCAGCTTGTGCTTTGGAAATCCTCTGCCCTATTTAAATAAAGTTGTTGTGGTTGCTGCACTTGCATCTTGTTGCCTACCATTTTTCTGAAGGGAATTGTAATGCTATAATGTGGTGGAAAGCACAGCAACAATAGCAAGGTAGCAAAGTCCTAAGCTGCAGCAAGTAAGGATAAGCCTAAATGCAGCAGCTGCAGACACAGAAATAAAGAAAAAAAAATCTGCTTACCCTTGGAAAGTTTCAGGTAGACAGGGATCTCCAGCAAGATACTCTTACCTTCACTTCCAACCCTTACATGAGGTCTGGGAAGGGGTAAACCCTTGCCTCACTCCTTCCAGTCACTCAGTGCATTGCTTGCACCTGAGCTCCCCTGAGTTAGCCCTGCCTTCCCACCAGGTGGTCATTTCAAGCCCTGACTTCAAGCATTTCACTACAGGTGTGAACATATGAAAGAGAGAAAAAGGGCAACTGAAAGAGAAATGAGAGATGGCTAACCATTACTTTGAGAATACATGCCTTTATAATACAAAAAGCTTGTGTAGAGCTAGCCTCATTTAGTGGCTTCTGACGCTGTGTGAGTGCAGTGAAAGAAGTGCAAAGCTGGGATAACTGAGTGGCTGAAACAGTACTGCCTAGGTCTGATCCCTTGCAACGGTGATGGTTCTGTCACCACGATACACAGCCATCATTTCCCTGCCACCAGCACAGTGCTGAGGAACACTCCTCTCCTGAAGGACACCCTGTCCTTGCAGCTGTTCTGGGCTTTCTGCCAGGGCTCTTTGGAAGCGTTTGCCATCATTCTGCTTTCATTTTTCCAGTACTGCAGATGGAGGTTATTTTTGCCCCTTTGGTTTTTCACAGGGGCAAGTGGTGGAGTCCTCAGTGGCAGTGGTTTCCTCTTCTTGTTTGCAAAGAGAATAATAATAAGCACCTGGGTCTCCCTAAACGCAGGATGAAGAGGAAGGTAGCTATGAATACTGAGCTTTTACAGGGTGCAGATTGGGAAAATTCCACTGTTTCCAAATATGCAGGAAAACTGGCTTCCTCCGGGGGCTTGTAAAGCCTATATTTCATGCACCAAAATCTATTTCTGGGAATGGTGTCACCATGCATGTAAACCATCGAGATTGTTGAATCACATTTGTTCTGAGAGCCTGTGAAAAAGTGAAAAGGCTCCTGAAGCTTGCAAATGTGAGGTCAGTCAGGAGGCTGTCCGCTGCTCAGATGCTTTCTCCCATCTCTTAATGCAGTGATCTTATAAATGCTAAATGAACATACAGAGGAAGAGCCAGCCCTAACCTCCAGCCAGTGCAAAGTCTTAACTAAGTTACTAAGTATGGAAACAGCTTCATTGCAAGAGGCATTGCATAAGATCAGCTTGTTGGCTGCCTCTGAAAGGCTGCAAGCACAAAGACACCAGCTCCATATGGATGCCTGTGCTGGGCAATTTGCTTGGACAAGTCAGTGCAAGTGACCAGGAATTAACACCCTGGGGAAGGATGCATACATCTACATGCAAAAGCTGTCCCTGGCAGGACAAGCAGGGATTAAGGAACATGACGAATCACTAAATCTGGGTATGAGTGGGCTGAAGAAAATAATCATCACACACATGACTATAAAGGGCACATCCCAAATCCTGAAGCTATTAGCAGGGTACACCTGCGCTGACCACAGAGCTTACTGAATTTCTGAATCTCACAAAAGAAACAAGCAAAAATACTTAATATTGCCATTAATGAAAGCACGCTAATAAATCTAACAGGCTGAAACCATCCTGCTATGCAAGCTCCTACCTGCCATCTTCACATTGCTTCTTCAGTGTAACACGGTATCATAGCACTCTTTCTCAGCTGCACCTTCCCTCCCAGCACTCCAGTATAAAGATTATCTCACATAGTGCAAGGCTCTAATGAGAACTACTACCCCAGACAATAGGCTGCAGCCTACAAACTTCTACTCATACTCCCAAGCACCTGATGTTCTGCACGCTGATATTCTGATTGAGGTAACTTCCAGCTCACCACCTTATTTCATAACTCTCGTACCCTGCACCATTCACCTCCATTAGGAATTGTGTTGAAGCCTGACAAGCCCAGGAACTCCCATGAGAACCTTTTCCCATTCATAAGCACTCTTAAATGGCTCCTCTAGAGGCTCGTAATGTTTATGATTTTGCCTTTGCTATTAAAGATCTGAGAGTATCTCCATTTGATCCCCTCCATCTTACTGGATATTTGAAGTATACACTCAGTTGTACATTAGCTGTAATGTGTGCTTTATCACTTGAACCACGTGAACGGTAAATGCTATTTGCACAATCCACAGTGGGCAACACACTCTAGCTGGTTGAAGCCCCAAATGATGTGGTGTAAATTAACTTATTTTACAGATACCCAATTACCACACAAAATTACAAGTTTACTATAAAATAATTTATTAAGACACCATACATAGCTTAAGCAGCAAGCATATATACATGCACATGAACACTACTGACTACACTACTCAGGGACTCTAGCTCTTTTGACTTTGGCCTTCCTCACCTCTTCAATCAGATCTTTCAAGTACTGGATTTCCTTACTCAAGGAATCTGCTTTCTCTTTCAGAGCCTGATTCTTCTGTTCCAAATCTCTGCACTCCCCTGACAGTGCCTCCTGTTCTGCCCTCTTCTTTTGCCGGTAACGCGTGGCAGCTGTCTTATTTTGCTCCATTTTTTTCAGTTTCTTATCTATTTTCTTTTCTCCTTTCACCTTTGCTGACACTACCTTCTCAGCAGGGTGGTCATATGGTTTGGACCGCACAGAGCCACAGGTGGCATCTGCAGGGAACTGGTTGTCATTGGGGGATCCAAGTGAATTGGTAGGACTATGCTGGGGCGTTCCCAAATAAGAGTCTGGGCTCATGCATATTCCACTATCATCAGAATGGTTCTCCTCCTCTTTCTCTGACTTGGTGATCACTACCAGAAAGGTGGGGCCCTCCTGTTTCCTTTCACCTTCCAGAACATCCACTTCACTACCTAGTTCTAAACTAAATGAATGGTCTGGAACAGAAGTCAGAGACTCTGGGGAGAGGGGAAAAGACCACAGGGAAGCTAATGGGGCCATGGGATCTGCTCCAATTGGAGATTCAGGGAAACTGGTGATTAGATCAGGTATGAGTGGAGGTTCTTTGTTGTGAAATTCCTGGGTGGTAGGGTTGAATAGGAGATCACACGTGTCTTCCAACGTGGCCATCAGCTCGTCTGGTGAGACGGTGGCTTCCAGATGTTCCATACCTAGCAGGGCATCAAAATCAAATTCCTTCAGATCCATCTTCTCCACCATCCACTCCATGCCAGAGAAGGCATCCTCTAAACAAGGAAAAAAACAAATGCACATTTTTCAGTGAGTTAACAAAGTAAGCTTCTAGAAGGTATCTAAAAAAAGAAACTACTAAAAAGCTAACTAGTTACACCTTCCCCCATTCTTTTTAATGGTACAGAAGATTAACTACCAGAACCTCAGCCCACCATGAGCAGGGGAAGACTACATGATACAGTGTAGCTGTCAGCTGTTATGACATTCCATCTCTCTGAGTCTCAACTCCATAAGAATTCAGGGCTACTTGAAACACACTTCACACATTTGTTTCTTGTGACCTCTTCCAGGGAAGGCTACTCTAACAGCTGGCATGTTATTAAAGGGGCAACACAAGTGTCATTTTCCCACAAGCCAGTCTAGTAACTAGCCATTTGCTATTGTGTAATCAGTGTTGTATGGATGCTTTCCAGGCCACAGTACACACCTGATGTTACCTGTACACTTGGAGAACTTGCACAGTATATTTTTGAATGGGAGAGTTACATTGTTTATTATGTGCCATCACCACTGATGTATTTTCTGCATGTGAACTAGTGCCTTACCCTGGCTGCTATCTATGGTGTTGCCTAAACTGTCCACAGCGAGCCAATTGGAGGAGACTGCCTTAGCCTTGTCGCTGGAGAACCCATGCGAACCGAGGGGCTCGGCCACCTCCAGGTAGTCATCGAGGAGTCCCAGACTTTCCTCAGCCACCAAACACGGCTGGCTGAAGGGGGAGGACCCCCCCAACAGCATCTCGTTGTTCAAGAGGCTCATCTTGGTCAGGTTTTAGTGCTTTGACGTCAAAGGATGTAGACAAGGAGAAGGTCTTTTTGTCGACTACAGCAGTGCTGCTGTGCGGTGCCTTGAAAAACCTGTAAGACAGACATTTTTCACGTGCATCAGTGCTTGTTCTACTGGAATAACAGCCTTCACAATAAAACACAGCACACAAGCACATTCTCCAGGCTGTTTGCCTCCAACTCTTTCTTTTTTTTTTTTATTTTTTTTTTTAAAGGCTCTTCTATTCCCATCCCCATCTCCAGCACAGCAGCGCCAGCCCCGCGCTCCCCACGCCCCGCCCACCGCGCCCTGACTCACGCCCACGCCGCAGCCATTTCGCGATCCGCCGCCGCCCGCTCCCCACCCGGCCCCGCCGCCATTTTGTGCCGTGCCACGTTTCCACCTCGTGTCGCTGGGACCGCCAGCAACACGGCGGGGGGGGAAGGGTGACAGGACGGAAGGACAGGGCACCTTTCTGTGCTAAGCTGACTTATAGACCAGGGGGATTCGGTTGAGAAACGCCGTGAGAGGCTCGCATTATCAGGCTGCTTTCCACACCATCCCCCCAGCGCTGCGGCATTAGGGATCCACTCATACCTCAGCGCCCGCTCGCTGGGAGCCCCGTGTAACTCCTCCACCTGCTATTCCCAATGCCCCTCTATAAAGGCATTCCCCTACGCGACTAGGACACCCGCATAGGGACCTAACACTCACAAAAACCTTACAAAACCGAAAAGCCCTGAGCTTTCAGGATGCGGCTTTTTCTCAAATACAGGGTATTACGGCTCGCTTTTCCTCTTAAAGTGTCATTTCCTGCCGTTCCTTAAACTCCCAAGTAGGCTTTCAGCCCCCACCCGCCTCACCCCATTAACCAGGCAGCTTCTCCTTGTGGGTTCCGTTCCGCGCCCCAGAACCCCGCTTAAGAAACCGGGGGAGGGGTGTCACACAGCGTGCGCTCCCACACGCGCTACTCACGCCATGGTTGCAGATGCCGGGGATGTGCCGAGGCCGCCGCCGCTGCTGCTGCGCCCGCTGCACTGGCCGATGCCGCCGCTGGCCCTGCCGCCCTTAGAGAGCCATGGCGGCTGGGGTGGGGGGGGATGGGGGAGGTGCTCCGGTCAGCGCCGCGCGGAGATGTGCTGCGCACGGCCACTACCACAAGCTATCAGCTCAGCTAAGGGCACACAATGAGGTGGCACAGCGCGCGCTCCGCTTTTAT